CTATGACATATAAGCACCAATCCTTTATTTGTGGGGGTTGATGTGCCAGTGGTCTCCTTCTTGAAGCTACCAGGTCTGTGAACAGACACTGATACTGCTCCACCTAGACTAGTGAACAGGGTCAGAGCTATATATGACTAACCTGTCTAATTTGCCTAATTGAAAAAAAACTGCATTTCTTTTATGCTTATCTTTGCTTATGGCTTATCTGAATGAAGAAAAAGGTCATGATGAAAAGCGCAGGAAAATCAATCAATACAAAACAAATTAACTTTATAGGGAAGTTGCTAATACAAGAAGCCTGCTTCAATGCTTTATTATTGCATTAATCTTTTCTTACAGCTACAAAAATGGGGAATTTTCCATGGCAAAGTGCAACGCTTAGTATAATTATTATAGCTGCTGTCCACACAGAAGCCAAGACCACACAGAAGCCACATGCAAAGTTTACTAAGATAAAGGTTCCTGAAGTGGAGGTCACTGAAGGATTTGACACATCCATTGTCCCACCCACCGGTGAAAGCTCCTTTCCAGAAATCTCAGAAATGAGTGAAATGACAACAGATTTGTCCACTCTGCACCCTGCCTTCAGGACAGCCACCACTCTGTTTCCTTTTGAAAACTTTACTCTTGACACAGCTGATTTCTTCTTTAATTGCTGTGATTGCTGTACCCCTGCATCGGGTCAGAAAGGGGAACCAGGAGACCATGGACTGCCAGGTAAGGGAAAGGGAAATTATTAGTTATTATGATGATTTATTACATTTTTCAGGAAGAAGTGTCAGCTGTAGCGTATAAGTTATGGCAACGGTTTGCCTGTTTGAGAAGGTCTTACATAATTGATCTAACAGACCAGATTCTTATACCATGGCAATTTATTCTGGATGAAGGTTAGGTCTAGTATACTTATGCCTCATACAATATCAGATCAGCAATTTACTTTAATTCAAATTTAAGAATAAAGCAATGCTAACTTAAGCCCTGGAACTGCACGTCCTTCATGTGGGGAACACCTGCTAGAAACAATGTTCTGTGTATGGAAAAGTTGCAAGGATGGGCTCTGTTATGCCAAGGAGTTACCATTACTGAAACAAACTCCTGGACAATAATTCACCTTTCTTTGCCTTTACCTATCTTTGTATAGGAAATCCTAGAAAACTGCAACATTGTGTTTCATGTACATGGTGGTTCCATGGGAAGGGGACAGTAGACAGACTAAGCCATACAAGTAGGCTCAAAGCACATCAAGACAAAAGAATGTTCTTTCTTGAAGCATTTTTAATTACTGTATAATGGTCACTTTGAGAGAGGATTTGAATAGCAAGTGGTCACTTGAAGGACAGCTCATACCCCAGCCTCTTGAACTCTAATGTTCCTTGCTCTTAGTTTACCCCACTCATCGAACATCATTTGCATTATTTTCTCTAATGCTATCCCAAGTTTCCCATTTGCCAAACAATGGGACTTGTACTGTTTCTCTTAGAAGACTAATCAAATATGATTTACCAGTTCAACCAAAAATATTCATTTCCTCGTTAGTCCTAGGTATAAGCAAATGGAGCATCACACACATTTCTTTACCCTGCATTTTTTTGTGTTTACATCATTCTAGTATTTACAGATTGTTTTTATGTTCCCTTTAGTCATTGTTTCATGCCTGGTACTGCTACCTAAAAGTGGTTTATGGGTTTTTTTTGTAAGGTTATATAATAAGAATACTAAAAATATCCAATCATTTCTTGGAAACAAGGAAGTTAAACACAGAAGGTGATAAAGGCTTCAGATTATAAAATGATTAATTTACTAAACATAACCTCTATTAATACCATATAAATATTTTATAAAATAGGTACTTTTTTGTAACCTTATAGTTTTCAAATTGTGTACCAATTTTATTCTAATGGTGCATAAAGAAACTACTCATCAGAGAAAGAGTGGTGGAACTCAAATGAGTCTTAGGTCATGAGTGACTAACTCAAGGGCCCCCTCTACATGTTACATTTATACTGTAGTTAATAATAATTAATATAAACAACAAGAGTGCTACATGTGCACCCAATTTAAGGCACTGCAAAATGGCAAACCAGCCATAAAAATGTTTCCTAAATAATGTAGAACATTTTTGTGGTTGGTTTGTATCATGGGTGACTGGTGCCACCTTAGTCGGGGGGGCACATCCCCCCCCCCCAGTGACCAGTCATTGACCAGGGGTGGAGAGGAGTCCCCCACCACAGCCAATCTTGCTGACAGGGAAGTTCCCCTATGGCCAATCTCGCTGACCAGGACCCAGTTTCACCAACGGGGGGCGGGGGGCAGGGGATGTCCCTCTCCCTGGCTGGTGCTTGCAGGGGGGGCACCAGTGCTCCTACCTGCCCCCCCCCCATTGCCTGAACAGCAAGCGCGGCCAGTCAGGGGGTGCACCGGCGTTCTCATGCACTCCCTACGCATCCCCACTTGTTTGTATATCTCCTTAAATTGAATGTGTGGCATGTCCATATACTGTGACTCTTCAGGGTGGATGTCCAAGAATCAGTTGATTGTTGGAATCAGCCCTGGACAGCCATGGTCTCCACCTGACTTGCTGACAATATTGTCGGCATTAGCCTGGGGAAGCCCAGGTCTCCAACAGGCTGGGGGCTTCTTGGGGTTGCAGGGGGAAGGATGAGAGGCTGTAGGTGGGGGAAGCTGAAGGACTTCCCTTATTGGGGAGTTTAAACCCCATGCCCAACAGCTCTGGCTGGATACCAGGGATCAGAAGCTCCCAGCAGGGGGAGCAAAAGGGCTTTCCCTGTGGGAACTTTAAACTCTACACCCAACTGTAGCTTAATGTTCCTGGCAGGAGAAGCCACTGGTAGTGACAGCTGATTGCTGTCCAAACACTTGTGGGTGAACCAGACCTGGGACTGTCTGGGGTTGTGGCTAGCATCAGCTGATTGTTGGCCCTGGTCACTGGACAGCTGTGGGTCTGGAACTGGCCAGTTGTTTAGGCCAAGGCCAAAAGTCAACTGATTATCAGCTCCACAGGTGGGTCTCCAGGAACCCAGATTTCAATTTACTAGCGAACAGGGAGCCAGGGATTATGGCATAATTGGGATCTCAAAATCGTACCTCCTGCCATGCACTTGTGCCGTGACAGGAAGTGCAATTGTTGGGACAGGGGATCATTGAAGCATTAATTAAATGTGAGCCGGGGCCATAGAAACTGTATGAGTTATTCATTAAGTTTCAGCCAGTCTCTTTAGCTTTGTTAAAATAAATGTTCACATCAGGTGGATTATGTTATGATAATTCAAATTGTTGTGCTCAGCTCTCAGAAAAGCACTAGATTTTTGCATATTTAAAAACTGAGTGTTTAATGCAGCTTGCTTCTTTTTTTCAAACCAGTAGACTTCTGCCAGGTTGCATGCAGCACAGATATAACCTGTCCAAATTCCATGTTTGAATTTGCAATATTTTTTCAAAGGGGGCAAATTACTATGTTATAGGAGGTCTTTAGTGGTTATTCTTAAATATCGTTAGGCTTAATCAGACATCAAAATGTAAAAAATCCCGCAGATGGCATGGGGGGAGAAAATCTAAGAACCAATCAATAAATCAGCCTTTCCATTAATCAAGTTTGGGCTTTTTTAAACTCCTGTTAATTCTAGTGGTAGTTGCATAGCTTTCCTCCTAACTGACTTTGAAAAATCTCAGCTGCAGTGATTCTCATCCGTGAAGGTAATAGGGCTTAGTTCTGAGGCATGCTCTGCTTCTTTGGTATCACTCCTATGATGCCAAGGGGAATAGCCAGATATTTCCTGCAGGGTGGCAGAAGGATTCTTTGCTTACAATGCACAATGTAACATATCTTTCACTGTGGCTTATGAATGAACTAATACTCATATTTCATGCTGTAAAGTTTGTCCTTTCTAGTCATTTTGAAAATAGAAACCCACTAACTAAAGCATTTTCAAATGGTAACCTTTCAGGTCCTAAAGGAGAGACAGGGGATACAGGCCTTCAAGGTTTACCAGGAATTCCAGGATTTCAAGGTCCAAAAGGCTTCAAAGGAGAAAAGGGTAGGTCATATTAACTGCTTATTTAAAAAGCAAATATTATTTCTTGCATGAAATTTTTTCAGTCCAATAGAAAAAAATTTAGGAGAAATTAATTTGCAATATGGTATAATTGTGTTGGTGCAAATTAATACCAACTAATAGTAAACAAATTAATAATAGTAATGAGAAAATCCAACAGCATATCATGGAGTAGGAGTAGTCCAACAGGGTATGAAATAGATTTAAATAGTTGAGAAAATGGATGTTTATAAAGGCCTAATCTAAAGTTCTTGATTTCAGTGGACTTTGGATCAGACCCATCTGTATGAAGCTACACCACTTGGAAGCTTCATGGTAGCTACCACTAGGCACAGAAGCTGCTTTTCAAAGTTGAATGTCTCAGATCAAATCAACTGTATCTGAATAAGGGGGTAAAATTATCCAGTAGTTGCATCTTCATGAAAAGACTCCTATTCATTTTGGTAGTCTTCAGAACAAGTCCATAATGGTCATTCTATCCCATATCATTCTAACTGGGTACATCTACATGTTAGAATGATAACATGCATACATGCATGTAGATGCATCTACATCTACACATGCATTGGTATTAGGGCACAGTAAACTAATTAACTCTGCCATAGGAAAGTACTGTGGGGTCAGTACTATCTTACGGCAGAGTACTGTGCTGAAGCACATGTGTAGACAGAGCCCAGGGGTGTAAATTGGACCCAACTAGCCCAGTCAGCCAGGGGCTTGCTCCACCCTGGCTCAAATTGCTGCTGTCCCAGGTGCACGTTTAGATGCTGTGCCTGGGAGCAGGAGACTTGGTGCAAACTGCTCTAGAGTTTATTGCATTGCCCAAGAGTCAAAGGGAAGCTGGGTGATAGTGACCATGAGTTGATCACTTTCACTATTCATCGCAAGTCGGCCAGCAATGCAGTAGTCCTTGACTTTAGGAAAGCTGACTAGGAGGCATGTTCATGAGGCCCTGAGAGATCATGATTTCACAGGGAAGGGAGTTCATGATGACTGGTTGCTCCTTAAGGAAGGAATCCTAGAAGCACAAGGGGAGTCCACCCCACCCATGGAAACGGTGGTAAAAGGGCTCGACAACCCCCTTGGCTCAACAGGGAACTCATGGACCTCCTATGTTTAAAAAGAGAGTGGCGTATAATGGATGGAAGACAGGAAACACCACTAAGGAGGAGTATACTGCACTGGTCCGCAGCTACAGGGAGCTAACTAGAAAAGCCAAGGCTGCAACTGAATTTCATCTGGCTACACAAATCAAGGACAATAAAAAGTCCTTCAGATACATGGGTAGTTGAAAGAAAAACAAGGGCAACATTGGACCCCTGCTAAACCAGCTGGGGCAGCTGACTACTGACACCCAGGAAAAAGCCAATGATTACTTTGCGTCATTTTTCAGCAGCCCAAAGGGACCATCCTG